GCTTGTTGTACAGGCGATTACAGGTTTTCCAATTTTATTAAAGTAGTCAATCCAAGAAATGCAACTTTTGCTTTCCTATTGGGTTTTTTGGGGCATTATAACTTTTTTAATACCACACAAAATAATTATTTCTCTCCTAAACATGGATGCGGTGTTGCCATAGAGATGCAGGACTTTGTAATGGAGCACAAAAATGAGTCCACAGCGAGTAAAAATGTGAGATTTCTCTGCGTCAGTGGCGCTGATTGACAAGATTCTGAGTTTCTTGCTCCATGTTATTTATTTCTTAAGGGGAAAAAAGGTTTTAAGTTGCCTCACCCCCCCCAGCCGACTCTGTGACTGTGCTCAGTATTCTGCTCACCTTCCCTCCACTCTTGTTCCCTCCAGGTGACGGGCACCATGGGCAGCATGAAGAGCGGCCTGCACCAGCACCTGGCCAGGCTGGACGAGATCTTCGCCACGCGGGGCGACTACGTGCAGACGCTGCAGTTCATGCAGCAGATGGCCGACAACGTGATCAAACAGCTGCTGGGCCTGCCCGACTGGGCAGAGGCCAAAGTGGACCTGGCGTCCGTGGCCGATCAGACGGCCAACATCGAGTACTACAGGTGAGGAACGGACGTGTGGTGGGGAAGTGGGCAGCAAGTTCGTACACGGCCGCCGTGGTGGTTTATCTGCATGAGTAACACTAGCGACAGATCAGGTTTGACGTATTCATGAACGTTAGCGATACAGAGAATATGTTTTCCAGGTGCGAGCACACCAACAATCATGATCACAGGCTTCCTCCGCCGCCGAGCCTCACCGAGCAATCTGCACACTCGGTGGAATCGATAATTCATGTGTAGGTAGTCACCTTCTACTCATAATGACCTGAACATGTCACATGACATTTAGCAGATGGGATGGAACAATGCGTGCAGCGCCCACTGCTGTGAATCACGGCTCCCTCGCAGACACTCCTCCGTGGGAAGTTTGAAAATAGAAGCGTCCCATTAAATCTTCAGCAATCGTTGCATCAACCAGACCTTTTAAGTGCAGACGCTAATGACAGAGAGCGGCAGCTAACAATTACTGTATGTTAACAACTGTTATCCAAGGCCTTGTCTCATTACTGTTAAGCTCATACTCTTATCATCTCGGAGCAGAAACGGGCCCGTGGCCAATTCTTTCACTTCTTATAAAGGCTTAGTTGTGTTTCCGCCGCTACAGACAGGCTTGTGTTGTTTGTATTGATCTGTAATGCGAGTCCTCTGCCCCGCCGATGGCTCAATACCCCACGTAGCCGCATGCTAATAGAATAGACCGACTGCGAGAGGACAGCAAGCTGTTAATGGACTCATTATCACCGCCTCACACCAACAAACAGTTCTGCACGCGGCCGGGCGAGCGCGCCGCGTTTGATTGGACTTATCAAAGCTGAGGTGTCGCCGCCTGGCTGTCTGCAGTCATCCAGTCCTGTGTTTGCTCTTTAAGCTCGCTCGCCGTGTTTGTCATGTTGCAGGAATATTACGACATTGTTTTCCAGGAAAGCCTCCGTATTGCTTTTAATTGTGGCCCAGAGCTAAACTCGTCCTGTTCTTGTTCCTCGTTCGGCTCTCTAGTCAGTGTCTGGTTCTCTCTCAGATTTGGATGTTGACAACATTTTAGCTAGAAAACCCTTAAGCTCAGTAATGCTCAGGTACTTTAAGGCACCTAATTATCTAACAGCTTGTTTAATAGCTTTGGTATTTACTCTGGTAGCTCTGCTCCTCGGGAGAAGCGGCTGCCGCAGAAGTTCAACTTTAACATCGATCTGGCTGTCATCATAGTCAATACTGGCTCTGCATTTTCATTTAAACCGAAATTAAAACATACATTCTTAACCCTCTGAACCCCAACGTGTCCGAATCCTGCACCTCCATGGAAACAGCACGTCCATGGCTAGAAGTAGAGACAACTGAGAAATGTCTTCTGCGCAAAGTAATGTCATAAATCATAAAAATAGAAAAATTTAAAATTATAAAATTATCTTACAAAAGAAATTAAACCTGCCACCAACACGTACGACATATTTCCAAGTGCCCACAGGTGTTAGCAGCAGTGACAATCATCGTTCCTCTACGTAATGTGGATGTTTTACATGTTTAGTTTGTTTCAGCCGAGTTTAGCTGAAGACGTTTGTCAAAGTTGTTCTGAAGGCTGCAGAGTTTTTTCTTTCTTCTACAATCTGGTTGAACTGCAAACAGTTCATTTTTTTTTGGCACATTTTTTAATTAAACTTGTAGATCAAGTGATTTTGATGGACTATCACTCAGCTTTGGTGAATTTTTCCCACAAAACGAGACGAGCAGTTCAAGGACCGTTGAAGATCTGACAGTCTTATTGTTTCTGGTGTCATTTTGGTGATTTATTTAAGGAGAACGTGTCTTTTAGGGTTAAGAAAGTTAAATAGGATTTTATATCTCCAAGATATTTTTGTTCTATTATTCAGAATTTTATCTGAATTTATATTCAGCTGTTATCTTGTGTTTCTTTTCTGTCGCTTCTCAAAGTTATTCTTCTTGTCATTATTTTATTTTCCAATAAAATGTGCTGCAGAGTGAAAACTAAGGTCTAGAAAAGAGTTAATTAAACCTCATGATTGAGTGACTGCACCCTCAGCTGTACATAAACAGAGTTTGGCTTCAGGCCTGTGTCTGACCTCTGACCTCTCTGCAGTGGAGGTTAAAGACAGTACGATCACCGTCATTGTCTCCGGCCTCCAACACTGACCTGCTTTCTGCTACCCCACAGCTTCTTGAGGAGATGCGCTTTTGTATTATACATGCATGCAGCCCCTCCACCCCCCACGTGTATCCGTGCTTTGCTCAGTTAGACTCTTAATTGGATTAGGCGAACACAGACAAACACGGTGGCGGTGTCACCGGAGAGCCTCCCGTGCTGATGCCCCAGCCTCTTGCAGCGTACCCTGCCAAGGGGGGGAAAAGATGAAACGAGGAGAAAATAGCAAGGAGGTGGCGGCGGCGAGGGAAGACGGGCAGGGGAGAGAGAGAAAAGAGGGGCTGAAAGAGTAGAGGAGGAAGAGAGATTACAGAGAGTGACAGAGAGGGGGAGGAAAAAAGGGAAAGACAGGGGAGAGAGGCTGGGAGACGGGGGAGATGTGGGATGGATTCAGCAGAGTGATGGAAATACAGGCTGATGGCAAGTAAAAGAAATAATGAAAGCGATAACAAGAGTGTACAAAGTGATGCAGGGTGATGAATGATGCACAAAGAGAGGGAGATGATGGAAGCAAACAGAGGCCAGCGGCCCATAGATTGATAGCTCAGAGTGAAAAGGGCCAAACAGTTGCCTTCAGTTTTGTTTTTTTGCGGCGTGGAACATTCGGCCATATGGATCTGGAGCCATTCATTATTAACCATCTGGACAGGTTCGCCGTGTCCGGTCGCAGACTGGCCTCTGTTCACGTAGCAGATGGTTACACAGAGGAGGGCAACTGGGCCGCAGTAGTTACCCTCAAGCATGAACACACAATCACACCTCAGGTGACGATGGGGGGCTGCTGAGGTGAAAACAAGTGGGACACGCTCGCCTTCTGGGCTGACCTGATCCACCACGCCAGCTCATTGTTCTAAGTCATGGGCTTATTGATATAAAGGAAGATTCAATATTAGAGCCTGAACAAAAATGATGGTGTTGATGAACAATTTGATGCTAAAATATATAAATAATCAAAGTTATTCTTCTTGTCATCACTTTATTTTCCAATAAAATGTGTTGCAGAGAGAAAACTGAGGCCTAGAAAATAGATAATTAAAGCTGATGATTGAGTGTTTAAGTGACTGCACCCAGAAATGATTGACAAGGTGTGTATCAGCTGAGCATGAACAGGATTTGGCTTCAGGTCTGTGGGTGATGGTGACCTCTGACCTCTCTGCAATGGAGGCTGGATATATATATATATATGTAAATAAACCAAAAATATGTATTACTACTCGTTATGATTGGTTCATTCTTTTATTTTTCTACTGAGGTTTCTTAAATGTTTGTCCCCTTTGCTGCTGTGAATTTCTCCACTCTGAGATAAATAAAGGCACATCTTATCTAAACAATGCCCCCACTGTGGAATCAATAAAGACTTATCACATTGAATTATATTTTGTGTATGCTGTGGTTTACGACCCAGCTGTGTAGGGACGTACATCAACAGCGTACAGCTCAGTGGCGTCATTAACAACAGAGCTGCTGGGTGTTGCCAAACCAAAGAACAAAATAAAACCAAACAGAGGCTACCAGAGTTTTGATAATTAGCGAGGACACCCACATTATTTAAGAGCTGCTAACAGAATCTACATTTCTACACTAAACACCAACCCATGCCTAACTCCTAAACCAGTTATGCAGCTGCTAGCAGAAGTTCCAGAGACACGACCTGCTCCCATTAAATCCCAGCCGCCGCGACTGTGAGGCTGTAGATTTATGCTCCAGGTGTGTTGATTGCTGCAGTTTGACTGGATGACGGTGGAGGGAGCTAAGTGGTGGTCCAATCAGGTGCAGCAGGCGAAGGTGAACAAGGGCTGGAGTGCAATTAGTCTGGAGCTCCGGGCTAATCAGCTGCAATGACTGGCAGCTGGAGGGCCGGAGGGAGCTCAGGTACAGCTGAGTTCATGGAAGTTTTTCTGCTTTACATTCTGCAAAAAAAAAAAAGAAATAAAAAAGTATTGATGGGACATATACGCCCTAAACACTATATCTGTGAGGGACCAATATCAGCTGATATATCAATCCAATATATATCAGTTTCATTTTTACAGTTTGAGTTTCACTTTTTTATAGTTTAGTTTTATTTCCGATGAATTCCAAGAAAATTATTCTCACCAGAGTACAAACCAGGGCCCACTTGCAACACAACAGACTCCTGCAAATCAAAAATACCACTACAGCAGCACTCCAGGTCCATTACTAACTCCATACTGTGAATATTTCTTTATTTTCCGGGACGACAGGATGGCAGCAGTCGTACACATCTGGTGTAAAATCAGAAATAACACTTGCTGCTGCATCTGCAAGTACTTTGAGGTTACAGCTTTGACTGCTTGTATTTTTGGGCACAATATTCATTTGCAACTTTTGTGAGATGAAATAAATAAATGCTTTTTTTGCTCTGCTAGATTCTGTTACCTTTAGCGAGCTAATTGCTAGCAAAAAAAACTCATGATTAAAAATGAGAGACATGTAGAAAGGTCTTAAATGTGCCCTTGAAGGCTGGTACATAAAGCAAAAAGACGACAACAAAGTGATGGGCAGCATTAAGGGCATTTGTACAATATGAAAACTAAAGAAAAATGAGTTTGACAGCCAGCAGAAGTTAGAAACTGTTTGAGAAATAAGTATTGAGTGGAGTTGCTGCAGTGTAAACTTCTACACAGTGGATCAAGACCAGGTCAGAACCTCCAACAACAGGCTAAACCCTGATCTGGCTCGGTTCTCATGGTGCACGTCTCGGCCGTGAACACAACTTTTCGAGGCGTGAACCTGTCGTAATTAGAAAACGGCTAATAGTTGGCTTTTAAAGTCTCTTCCTAGTCGTTGATTGAACCCGTTTCTACATATAGAACGACATGTTTAGTTCTTAATAATCCTGTTCAGCTTAGATGTACCTCGACACTGTTGCTTCCTGTATAAGTCTTTCTCCACCCACATGTTCACTATTTGCTGCAGCTTCAGCACACCAGCTCGCCTATATTTCCCGCTCAGACACTAGAGAACCACCTAACGAACCTCAGATGTCAGAACCATGGTGTTGATTTTGCTTATTTTGCTCCTGATGTGTCTTCCAGTATATAAAAACCACCGTATAAACATGTTCCCAACATAACAAAGGGCTCTTTAAAGCCAGGTCACTATGGTAACGCCATTAATTAAGCTAATTATCTGTGTTAGCTTAGGTTGATGCTCACATTTAGGCGGTTAAATTCGCTGTTTTACTAGCTGAGCTGTTGTTGCTGCCGGGGACGGTGGTGAAAACTGCAGGAATACAAGCTAAACGTAATCCACCTCCCCGGAGCTTTTGTTAATGCCGGCCTTCGCCAGCAGCGCTTTAATGTTCTGGTCTGTCTGTGTCTGCAGGTGGTTCACCTACCTGCTGCTCCTCATCCTGGACCTGATCATCTGCCTGCTGGCCTGTCTGGGGCTGGCCAAGCAGTCCCGCTGGCTGCTCACCACGTGAGTCTAATATGTCCTGTAAAACGGGGCCATTTACAGAAAAAAAAAGAAGCAGAAATCAGCTCCATTTTCATGCTTTTTTATGTGACAGTTTACTGCCTTGCACTGCTGGAAGAAGGGGAGTGAAGAGGCAGGAGCTCTGAGAGGAGGAGTGGATTCAGAGACTAGCAGACTAAATCACAACTAATTAACTAAGAGGAAACAAAATGTGATTGTTTGTTAAAATGCAGATTCGGTTTGTCCAGATGTTATCACAAAGCTCCAAACCAAACGCTTGATTGTTCCTCGTGCGCTCCGGTGACGAAAACCAGACCGAGTTGCGTAACTCCAAAACCAGCTAACTAAAGACCAGCTGCGTTCAAGAGGTGGAAAGTTTTCAAAACTGGACTTTTCTACACCCACTCATCCACATCTCGTTATCCTGATGAAGACTGTTTTTATTTACGAGTGGGAAATAATCCTGGCAGTGTGAATGGTAATCACCTAATAGGCCGCGCAGGAGGGAGACATCTGATCAGTTCTGAGTTTAAAATAAATAAATACATAAAATTACATGAGTTAGTATGAGTCGGTGTTAACAGAAGGAGCTGGAGGCACGGTTTGCTTCCCTTCCCATGAGAAACCGCCTGCGAGCGAGGCGGCTAAGCGCCGGATCACATCCTTGTACAAACACCGCTCCGCTAGCCCTGTTGTGTTTCACCGTTTGCCTTTTAGCGTTGCCAGCAGTGGAGCGAGCTCGCTCACAGTGTTGCCGTCTCAGTGGCTTCGCTCTACAAATTGGATCGGAGGGCTGCGGAGAGATGGGAGCGCAGCCATTTGATGCTATCGACGGTATAACTTCCTGACGATTGTTATTCCAGTTTAACACTTGACCTGTTTTAAATAGCTCTGGAATTGCATTCGATAACAGACAGACACACACACACACACACACTGTGCATTGTGTCTCCGGAGCTTTGTGTGATTAAATATTTAGCTTTGTATTTTTAGCCGTTTTTGCACTTGAATATTTTATTGATTTTACCTTTTACAAGTGACAAGAAAACAAAATAAATAATAAATAAAGTCACGGCAGGTGTTTTAACCGCACATGCCTCTCACAATAGTATCATAAATATGTTTCGTAGTTTGTTTGACTTTTAAAAGTTGGAATTATGACCCAATAAACACTCGCTGTTGTGACACTCATGTGACGCTTGTACACAAACGCTGCACTGTGTGTGTGTATTTTTGGATATTTTTTTTGCTGTAAAAGGAGCTTTCAAAGGGCATGAAATCCATCCTGGCCTCCATTCATTCAGCCGAGCATCCTTCTGTCTCTCTCGATCAGTCGGTTCGGGGTGTGAGCGGCGCTAAACTTGGCCTACTAACCACAAACCCGCCTCCCAACCCCCCCCCTCCATGCGCTCACAAGATGAGTCAGTGTCAGGACTGTCTGGCTTCCCAAGGGACGCTCTCTTCCATGCGAGTGGAAGTTGTTAGAGGCAAATTACACTCTGGAGGCCCACCAACTCTTTCTGGTGCTCGCAACCGGCTGGCTGGGTGTTACCATGACACACAGCTAGAGCTCGGACAAGAAGCTACGCCCACAGACGGGGAGACACATCCATAAACGTTGCCGTCAGCAGTTTTTATTTCTTTTCGGAGTGTTTGTTTTTCTGGACAGGCATGTTGCTGTTTTAATGCCTTAAGCGTGGAAAACAAATTTGAATCCACCTCCACTGTATTGGGGTGGTGGCAGAAAACTGGCATCTCAAAGCCCGAGCACATTACACAGCAACTATTAGGTGAATTCAATCTTGAAATGTCATAAAGTGAAGACCGAATCAGCCTTTTTAAGAGCTTAACTTTATGGATTGCCACCGCCTGTGTGTGTCCCAAAAGTGAAGTAAAGGACGGAGGAAAAATCATTTCCCTGGATGGCAGAAATCATTAGAGCTGTCGTGAGCAGGGATATACAGCAAGAAGTGAACTGGTAGCTGTGTGGAAAGTAATAAACAGTTTTACAGGGGAGGGGTGGGGAGGGAAGGCCAGTGCTGCTCAGGTAACCTTGAAAGTCCAGATTATGAAGTGCCCAGGATAAATCTGTGAGGAAATGCGAAAAAAGTTAGCACAGCTCATGTCTGCATCCTCACACCGTGACTCACTGGAGCTCAACACGCCCTTTTAATCATGACAAAGTAATTAAGTTCCTCTTTTTTTTTTGCTTATATGTGTCTCAGCCGGCTTCAGAAGCATGACAAACAAAGGGGGTGGCACAGAGATAAAGCAAGAAACCAATTATTAATTTGCAAATCAGCATTCTTGGCAACTAGGCAAGAGTGTTGGTGCACAAAGAGAACTGTATAACCAAGAGCGTGGCACATAAGGAGCAGAGTTTTTGCTTTCTCTTTCCGTCAGGCAACAAGTGAGGCATGTTTTTATTCAAGGAACACTGGGCCACGCCGTCTGCAGCACAAAACACAAAGGACTCGTCCACATGTACGCATGGGACTTTTCCTCCATCCACAGGAATACACCAAAACCCAACTGAAGCTCTCTCAAGAGGGCGACGCAACCTCAACCCTCAGCCCATGTTGGCCGGTCAGAAGCTTAAAAAAAGCTGCTTCTGCTTTTGATTAGTGATCAGCACAGAAGGAGGGAACGTTATGTCTGTGCTGACGATGTCCTGAACCAGATGTTCACAGGGATTTTTAGCCGATCGATATGTTCTCACACCTGTGCCCGAGTCCATGTTTGCGCTTGTTGTCGCATGTAAATGTGAAAAAGTTGCCGTCAGAAAGTCTACTGACATGCAGGAACCCTGTCCGAGTGTTTCCAAGCTGAATTAAACACCTGGCCTGGTCGTGGAAGCCTTAAGAAGTCTTTGTCATGGTGCACCTTTATTTGCTGAAGCCCCACTAAGCTCGCTGCTTGCCAACGCACAGTAAACAGTAAGAGGCTCCACCTGGTGGCACAACGAGGTACTGCAACTAATCTACAGTACTTGAAGTGAGTGTTATCTATGTTAAAACAAAGTCCTGTTGTGGACTGCACCAACACTATTTTGGTCACACCATCCATTGCACATGTAAACAATATGAAAAAACATCATGTACTCTTTAATCACAACCCAAAAATCGATGCTAATTGAGTATCTGCACATCCTCACCCTGAAAAGAAGTTCACAGAAGAATAGTTTTCCATGACCTAAAACTTTATATCTGTGTGTGTGAACCAAAGGCAGACAGAGCTGGGTTTTAAATTATACTTGTGCATGTGTGAACAAGGCCAGAGACCAGCAGCTAAATGAGGCAGGGTCATCACATATACTAGTAATGTTTTAACACCAGTAACACTTTAAAGAAACATGAAGTTCTCTGGATTATGCTCGTGTGGCTGCAGTGAAGGAATATTTTTAATGAACGTAGCATCTACCAGTTCCTACACTGCATGACTCGTCTTTTTATTGTCATTTTGGTTAAATGTTAAAACAGTAACATGAAGCATGAGAACAGACTTGTTTTACTTTATTTCAACATTTAACCAATCGTTCCCTATTTTTAACCCCAAGTGCTTTTTTGTTGCCTAAACCAAACCACAAGCAGCGCTCAGGAAGTGGGTGTACAAAGCAGAGAACTTTGCTTTGTGCACCCACAATCCACCCCCGCCATTTCCCTACAGCTTGTGAGCGGTAAAAAAAAATCATAACACTTTTTACTCTCACAAAAAAAAAGAAGCAAGTCAATGCCACTGAACATAATCCACCCCACAATTATGTTGCCCTAAAAATACCCCAGTCAACTAACTCAACACGGAGCAGTTACGTAAATGTAGGATGTGTACAGCAATGATGTTTGACATTTACACCCCACACATTAAGCATCGACTCAGCGGGGACTGGGAGGTGATGAGACTAATTTGCCTCCCAAAGGGGAATCTACATTCAGAGCCTACAGGTGGATGCTGCGATGGGGGAGGTGGGGCTTTTGAAACGCTGACAGCAGCAGTGTCAGCGAGCGACGGTGTAGCTTTCAAGTCAGTGTCATGTGCAGGGATGTGGCAAAGAAACGAGCAGAGCGCTGACACTCCGTGATCAAAAGAGTGTGTTGGATGTATGTTGCGGTGAGACGAACACGTCGTGTGAGTGTTACAGCAAACCCGAGCCGGGCTGCCTGAAGTGGCTCACAGGATTTGCCTCGTATTTGGCAAAGTAAAAGTTTATGTAAATGCTTGATTCTGGGACACGTGACTGAGGCAGGCCACACAGAGATTGACATCAACTTATCCAGGACTGTTGGGAAGCTATGTCTATGGAGATTCTTAGTCATTCAGGTTATGGGATAACCACTACTAAGAGCTTCAGTAGAATGCAACTGGACATCCCTTTTTGGTTTTTCACTTCTCTATTTGAAAGGGGGGGTTAACCATCACTTGTCAGGTGCTTGTGATGCAGTCTCCACCCAGAAAGATTCCCTACAATTAACATCTTGAGCCATCCCTGACCTTGCCGTTTCACAACTATTCGCACCTTAAGGAATGTGAGTCTTAATGGATCATTAATCAGTAGCCATATGGGTGGGGCGTGACAATATGTCTCCCCATTGGTTAGTCAGCTAGAACTGAGGAAACCTCTTGGTTGAAAAGTGAAGTGTCTTCAAGTCCAGTTGCCTTTGGCGGAAGCTCTTAGATATTGGGGTGATAACTAAAGTGTGGGTAACTCCACAGATAATATCAATACAGTGGCAGATAATCATCCCCTGTGTGGTTTTTACAAAGATAATCATGTGTTGTAGGGTTGTATTTTAGTTAAATCATTTGTTGGTTTGACCAAATTGCAAAAAAAATGCTTGAATCCTGGACATTCAAATTATTCTGTCCAGCCAAGCCCTATGCATTCATGGTGTTCCACAGGGAAGTGTACTAGGGCCTTTTTACTTTATTAGCATTAACATTATCCCCATAATATCTTAAATCATCCCTCATCTGGCAAGTTCACAACTATTCACAACAGGAATGTGAGTCTTAATGGGCCATTGTGAGCATCATTAATAAACCAGTAGCCACGTGTGTTGGAAGTGACAGTATGCTCGTATGCATCTGGAACCCCCATCAGTCAGTCAATTAGAACTATCAAAGCCTGTCGGATCAGAGTTGAAACATCTTGAAGAAGTAGAAAGAGAAGTCCAGTTGCCTTTGACGAAAGCTCTTTGCTTTTGGGGAGTTTCTGGAAGCAAAGATAACTTTATTGCCAATATAGTGGCAGATAATCATCCCACATGTGCTTTTTTAAAAAAGACGTGCAATTGATATATTTTACCTTCAAATGTTCCTTGATTCAACTAAATTGCAATAAAATGCTTGAATCCTTTGACATCTCAGTTCCAAATTATCCTGTCCAATCAAGATTTATGGAGTCCCACAGGGAAGCATGCTGGAGCCTTTTTCCTTTTACAGATACAGAGGAAGATAAATGACCTTCCAGCACAGTATCCTCGGTGCAGAATCCATATGTACAGAGATGACACAGGTCTTTAATATTGAATGAATCAACAGAAGTGTTCACTACAGTCCAGAATCTGTAAATCCAGGTCACAGGTTTTTATTTGAAAAAAAAAAACTCAAGATGAGAGGCAGGTAGTTTGATGTTTTATTAACATGCAGCTCTTCAAACTTTGAAGAGACGGCACAAAGCTCTTGGAGGATGCGGCAAGTATGCAGTTACTTCCAGTATACAGTACACAGAGTCAGTGTACAGTACACAGAGTCAGCATACACAGTGTATTATAATTGTGCTGTTAGTCAAACGTGAATCAGCCAAACACTCATTATTTCAGTGAAGTCCATATGGCCACCACTGTCTTCATAATTAAGCAATACTGGACGTCGGAAGTCGCAATCTGAGAAAACTGCGACGATTTAGACACGTAAACACAATACAGTGTATAATGAGGTTCATTCAGAGTCAGTCACTAATGGTCTCTGAGACGGAAATCACAAGGCAGGAGCCAAAATTGGAAGCTGAGTGAAAGATGTGATTATTATGACAAGCTAATTGGCATTGGCGGTGAGTTCCCAGGTCTCCTGCGTTTCTGCTTTGAGGGTCACGTCACTTTCATTTCGCTGGGTTTTAATTAGAAAGTATAATGACGGTTTGTATAATGATGGCAAAGGCTCCATATCTTCTCTTTTCTTTTCTATAGACTGGATACAACTGCAAGTTTACAGCAAAAGATTTTTTTTTCTTTTTCCCAGTTGAGAGCGAAAATCTTCTTCCCACTCTGATTTAATTCAGAGCGACTTGACCTCATCCGTGAGTGCTTTTGCCGGCATCATTTGCCGCGCTCATTGGCCTCTGCAACTTTTTTTTCCACTTGATGTGCTTTGTGTCAGGTTCACACCCGATTTCCCTGCGATTCTCTCAGTGAGTCTCTACCGGAGCACAAAACTGAACGCAGAGGCTGGGAGGTGAGCTGCCGGCACTGAGGGGGCGATCGCAAGACGTCGCTCCTGTTCGTCTGGTCACTCGGTGTCACGATTGTTTAAAGTAGCGAGCGTAGTCCGCTATCGCCCAGCAACTGTCAGACAGGCACGGTCTGGCAGAAACGTAGGTCAGCGATCCCCAACTTTATTTTTTTATTCACAGCAGAGTGCTCTTCATGTGTCCTTTATAACAGTGTGAACAAAAGCTCAACGAAACTTTAAACTTTCATTTGTATTGCATGAGAAAAAAAAAGAATAAATTATCCCTTGAAACAGAAACGGCCCCGAGACACTGGCAGGGTAAACACATGCGGAGACGTTACTGCGGTTAACCAGTGAGACAGTAAAGCAACTTTTGCATCAGTTCTGCTTTTCGATTTTAAATTAAGATAAGCAGCCTGTGAAGCCTCACTCTCTTTCCTATCTCGCTAAGTGTCAGGGATCAGCGAGGGCTCCGTATCAGACAGGAGACAAGCTACAAGAGGAGGGAGAAAAAAAACTGATTCGAAGGCAGGAGGCATTGAATTAGATAGTGCAGAGAGGGCCGTGGGAATACAGAGGGAGAGAACGATAAAGGAAAGAAAGGACAGAAGTGGAGGCTTGTAAGTTCAGTATTGGGAGCTTGAATGGATTAACTGGGGAGGAAACAGGAAAAAAAAAAAAATCATTTCAACGCTGAAAAGTGCCACAGCGGTCGAATCAGCAGACGTTTATCGCATTTTCTGGAGATTATTTCACCTAACGAGACCCGATCCCGTCGTCTTTCAATAGACATCGATCTCCTTCTGTCGTACGGCATCGACACAGACTAATACATGGCCCTGGCTGCACTACTGCATCCCCAGATCTCTCGACTCCCCCCCCCGCTTACGGCCACATGCATCTGATGTCATTTTCTGATAAATCGTGGGAGAGGGAGTCCGCTGCACAAAAACCACATTTTCACGTCCTCGTGGGTGCAGGAACACCCATCCACCCGGGGGGCTGCAATCAGATGTAGGTCAATGGAGCGGATAAGCAATGCTGCTCGTTCCTCGGTTCGCGCCGCCGCCGCCGCCGCCGCCGCCGCTGCCGCCGCTGCAGCTGCATGTCGAGGCCGAAAGAATCGACTCCACAGAAATAAACATGACCTCTGACTCGTTGTGCCGATGACGAGCCAGTGAGTTCAGCAGTCCTTCCCGTCAGTAACGCGAGCTTGCTGGGAAAATGACTCAGCGTCACCGTGCACTCCCTCCGATGACTTGCTTGTGTAACTTTTCCAGTTTATTTTAATATTTTCTGAGGAAGAAGTGCTGCGTCAGATCGAGAACGCCGGCATCGATGGAGCAAAAATATAAAAATGAAAACTCAGGTGCTCTTCAAGGATAAGGCCAGTGGTCAAGTAGCGATGAAAGAATAATGACCGTTCTTATTAGTAGTGGAAGCACACAGCATTAGGCTGCAAAGTACCCGAGGCACTCTGGTTTCAGATATAAAAATCCTTTATTAATATGTGGATTACATGGATTATCCTTGTATTAATAAAAGGATTTTTATGTTTGAAATCAGAGTGCCTCGGATACTTTTTGGATTGCTGACCGCTACGGAGGACTTCTATTTATAAGAAGTGGGACAGTTGCTGCTTTTTCAAAAATAAAAAAGCTCTTTGCCTTCATGTGTCCACCTCTAAACGTCATGTAGACGAGTCAGCAAAGAGCGTTCAGCAGCTAAATGACATGTTTTCTGTTGCTAGAGAGCAAAATAGGGATAAAAGAGTCTGACATTAGCTGCTCGTAAACACAAAAATAAGAGAAAATTAGGCCAGAAACTGTAAAAACAGAAAGATTCTCCAGATTTTCAGGTGTCCACATGTGGATGTTTCATTAAAACGACTTTATTCCGTGTGTCTCGTTTCAAAATTCAATCTTCTCAGCTTACAATTAAATCAGCTGACCAACATTCACGTGACCATAAGTCAGAGATTTCTCAGGTGAACTGCAGGCAGTGTTTTCATGTAGCGACAAGAGAGAGTAAAATAAAACATGTTTGAATGATAAAATAAATGCAGCATGGCTCAGAAATGTAGAGAAGAGCAAGTTGTTGGAGGATACATTCAGCACGGGGAAATAACTTTCCAGAGCTGTGTGAAAAACATCTGGTTTGAATAGAAAAATGTGAAAATGTTTTGTATGTGGAGCCCCCATGTTTGTGTTGGTAGCACTTGTTCATGTTGATTCCAGAGTAAACAAAGAAACTCAGCTTTTGTTCTTTTTATTTATTCTTTAATAATTTATGGCATCAAAACTGTGTCATGCTGCAGAGAAGTCATGTTTGTGTTCCGTCTACTTCTAGTCGTGATGTTTCTATAGAGGTGCACGACTTTATGTTACAGTAAAACAAAAAAATAAAAAATAAAAAGAGCCCACAGACAGTAAAAAACAGGGTTAAACTTCAGGTATGTCCTGGTTTTCTATCAGTGGGATTTAAGAATAGACCGGCTTTAATCAATGCAAATGATTGTGAGGAACTTGCGGCAAAGAGGGCCAAGCGTTGTGAATAATGCATTCGTTGGTTTGGATAAATGGCGCAATCAGCCTCCGTGTCCCGGTTTCCTGCAGCTCCGGTTCGTCAACATGAACACGTTGTTGTTGTAACGAGCTGCCGTCTCACCGTCTGTGTCTCTGCAGGATGATGGTGTTCGGAGTGCTGACGCTGGTCCTGAGCTGGACGTCGCTGGGAGCCGACCTGGCCACCGCCGTGGTGAGCTGCCTCCTCACCCCCGACTCACCCCTGACTTACCCCAACTTACCCCCTGACTTATCCGGAACTCACCCCCTACTGACCCCCTGACTTACCCCCAACTTATTCCCTGACTCATCCCTGACTTGCTCCCTGACTTACCCTCGACTTACACCTGACTTACCCCCGACTTATCCCCTGACTCACCCGTGACTTGCCCCGACTTACACCCTGACCTATTCCTGACCTGCCCCCCGACTTGCCCCCGACTTGCCCCCGACCTATTCTTGACTTACCCCTGACTTAGCCCCTGACTTATCCCTGACTCCCCTCGACTTACCCCTAACTTACCTACTGACTAACCCCCAACTTACCCCTAAGCTAGCCCCTGACTTAGCCCCTGACTTACCCCCGACTTACCCTCAACTTATTCCCTGACTTACCCCCTGACTCACTCCCTGATTTATCCTTGACTCACCCCCGACTTTACCCCCTGATTTACCCCCTGACTCACCCCAACTTTACCCCCGATTTACCCCTGACTTACCCCTGGTGGGCAGTCAGTTCCTATCCTACCTGACAGTGATGACAATCTGCTGTAACTCTGACAATGTCTTCCACAGGATGAGGGAGAAGTGGATGATTATACTCTGCATACATTTGGCAGAACTTTAGTTTAAAAACCGATCCGTTACAAGAGGAGCGACTGACTCACAGCCATCAGTCACTTCCATTCCAAACTCTGCATGCATTAGCCGCACACCTACTAATTAGCGGTTTCTTTAACGATAAGCTTTTCTGTAAACTCAGGTGAGCGGAGCCCTTGCAGCCACATACTGTCATCTAAAAAACGGTTTTAGCGCCTTCACACCACCCGATCACAACTTCCTCTGATCTCGCTTGTCTGTCTGTCGCCTCGTGCGCTTTTGATCTCTGCCGTCAGACGGCGCGTCGCTAAAAATAGGCCGACAAAAGAACAGAATCCCAGAACCCAAACCTTGTCAGCGCCGTTACACGAGCCTGAATAAGTTGATTCAAAGTCAGGGATCATGACAACAGGAATCCAATCGCAGCCTTTTAAAGCCGATCATCCTGAACAGGTGAATGATTTCAGGTCTGCCACCCAAAGTGTTTGATGTGTTGGTGTGAAAACAGAGAGAAGCATTTGAAAGAATTAATATGAGTCGGTAGAACGCTGGGGTTTGACTCAACGGCCTCAGTGTTCCTCAGGTTGGGTATTGACTCGGGGCTGTAGAGGACTGTTTACACGAGATGATGAGCATCTCACAGAAAGCAGCAGAAGTTACACACTTGTTTTTTTATCTTCCAGTTTAATGTCTCCTTGACGAGCCTCGATGTGGATCGATAGCGGAAGATAGCAACGACAGTCAGGACGGACAGCCCCGAAAATGTTCAATACACAAAAAAAACAGCTTTATCGCAAAAAACACACGCAGGATTTCACATTTAATCAGCCTGCAGGTTGGGTGCAAATGGAAATATGCATGTAAGGATCCAGCTATAGGGTGGTTAGCACCGTCGCCTCACAGCTAGAAGGTCGCCGGTTCGCGTCCCAGTGAGGACACCCAGGATCTTTCTGCGTGGAGTCTCCATGTTCTCCCCGTGCAGCGTGGGTTCTCTCCGGGTTCTTCCTCCCACAGTCCAGAAACATGTTGAGGTTAATTGGTGATTCTAAATTGTCCGTAGGTGTGAATGTGAGTGTGCTTGGTTGTCTGTCTCTAAGTGTAGCCCTGTGATAGACTGGTGACCTGTCCAGGTGCCTTCACCCTGAGTCAGCTGGGATAGACTCCAGCCCCCCCTAGTGAGGATTTTGTATAGAAGTGTATAGGAAGTGGCGACGGGATAACTCAGCATCAAAAGGCGTTCCGCTCTGGAGAACACGAACATCCGCCGCAAATGTCATAATAATCCAGCCATTAACTTCCTGCGATAAAAAGTTGAGCCTCAGGGCAGCTGTTTAAGGACAGCATCCAATAAATTACACGCTAACCTTTCCGTTACATTTACATATTGTTCAAATGGGAATTGTTGCCTTCGGGAAGCGGCGGAGGAGAAGGTCAGGAGGGTTCCTGATGGTGGTCACCTCCACTCGGTGGGACTTCACTTTACAGAGACTCTGGGGTTTTTTTGCCCCCTCGGCGTGGCGTCGGCCGGTTATGTAACCTGTTTGGTTGAGGCCCACTCTGGCTGCTCTGTGAGGTTGAAGTCCACTGAGAGTAAACATCACGATGGCAGTGAGCAGATATAACGGGAATAAAGTGCACCAGTTCCTGTGACGTTGCTTTTGAATTGTGGCTCAACAGAAATACAAAAAAACAAACACACAAGCATGATGGGAGTCGTGAACTAATATTTAGTTGAACAACCCTTAGAGCCAATCACTGCCATCAGCTGTTTCCTGTAACTCTCAGTCAGATTTCTGCACCTGTTGACAGGTGTTCTGACCCACTGCTCATCAGCAAAGTGCTCTCATGTGTCTGGGACAGTTTTTTTTTTTTTTGTAATTCTTCTTTTCAACCACAATTCAAAAGCAATGTCTTATTTCACCAAATTATAATTTAGCAAATTTTTATTTATTATTACTTTTTTCAGTTTCTAGTTATTTGAGTGACTATTATGAATTTAGCCTTTTCTTTAATGGAAGGGGAGGAAGACATCTGAGGACGACGGTGCACATTTTTACTCACTTTTTCGAATTTTCACTGCCGTATAAATTTCAGAATTTCTGGGGGAAAAAAATCTATCTTGTTTTTGTTTTTTTATAGAAAAAAAGAAAATGTTGTGCATGTTAATTATAGATTTTTCAAGTGCCCAAAGCTATTAACAATACAGGAAAAATAAACAAAATAGTGACATGTTACAGACATTTAACTGCTTACCTACTAAACACAGCCTGCAGTTCAACCCAGTTCAGCCCAAAAGCCCCTGAATTTTAGCCACTAGACTGTTGGTCACAGCTGAGTCACTCATAGCTTTGTGATTGTGGCGAAGAACACAGAATTTTTTATTTTTTACAGCATCTAGTCAGTGCAAAAGGTTTATTTTTGACCATTTTTTAAAAATGAGGCAATAAAATTTAATCTATCCAATGGAACAGCATGTCACAGATTAGTACTTCTAACAATTCGCTTTATTTTTAATGTTTCTGACTCTAATAAATGGTAATTTTGTCAAAAACATCCTGATTTTAGTCTCATGTAGACTTTTTTTCCCCCCAGCAGAGCGGCAGATGATAGACGAGTAGTTCAAGGACTGCCAGGAAGTTAAAAACCCAACGATTCTCTCTGTTCTCACACCTCCTGGCTCTGATGAATGGTGTAATTTTGGCCATTTTGTATTTTAAACAGACTGCTTTGGGGTTCAGAGGATTGAATCGATGGGCTGTTGTCAGCATCAGCTGACTGGTAGAAGAAACCAGAGCTCCTGTTTGTGAGCCACGGTGGAGCTTTAACCGTCACAGAGCCCAAACACACTAACCCCCGACCGAGGGCTGGATGTGGGGCTGCACTTTGGAAATCCATCCATCCATTATCTCTACACCTTAATCCTCACTAGGGTCGCGGTGGGCTGGAGTCTCTCCCAGCTGACTCAGGGTGAAGGCAGCTTCACCTGGACAGGTCGCCACTTGGAAATGAGAATCAGTTTTGCTGCCGCGTTCCAATCACGTCCGAACCCATCTGGAGAGAGAACCTCCACGGCTCTGTTTGTTTGCTGCAGTCTGTGTTTACAGGTGTGTGTGTGTGTGTGTGGCGGATGCGTCGCTGACTGACAGATGTTTGTGTATCTGCGAGGGGAATCTTCACATTGTGGGCTACAATTAGATTAGCGCCTGAACACACAGTAAATAAACGCACACACACCCCTTTCGCAGAACTCCTAATTACCAGCAGCGGGTAGTCAGATCTGTGAGAGTGAGTCGCTGCCGTCCCTCCAGGAATTCTAACAGACTTGCTCCTGAATCGCAGAGCTCCTCGGTATCAAACAAACCGGCTCGGCTTTTTTTGCTTAATCCCATCTTGTGTGTGCGGCTCATTAACGAAGCCCCTCAGAGAAGGCAGAGCAACTGTCTGTCCTGAGCCCTGGGGGATGCTCAGCATTCAGACGGCACCAGTTCGGAGGAGACTCATGGTTGTTTTGTTGTTGTTTTTTTTTTCATCCTCACCCAGGATTCTTGTTGTGGTTGTGAGTGACAGAATTGTCTAGACGTGTTAGCGTGGATCATCAGCCTTTATTCACCTGCTGGTTTAAAGACTTCCAGAGGTGTTAACAAAATATTAGCTGGATTATTTAGTGTTTTAACCCCTTCTCTCTTCTCTCTCCTGTCGTGTCTCAGGGAACGAGTGATTTCTGCGTGTCCCCCGACAAGTACGTCATGAGTCAGACGAAGGGCATCATCGGCGCTGGTGAGCTTCACCGTCAGTCACGAGAACACGAAGCCGCGGCCGAGACATGAACTGTTAAACTGATGAAATGCGTTTCTGTCTGCTGTCCTGCTCCACAGATATTGTCCATTACTACATTTACTGCAACCAGACCCTCTCCAACCCCTTCCAGCAGGTAGGAAATGGGACACTTGTGCAGACAAAGTGGGATGCATCTTTGGTTAAAACA